TAATATCATCAACTTAAATCATTTTTCTCTCTTTGCCCATTAGTTTGTCTGATCCAGTATTAAAAATAGAATAATCGCATCATTGTGAACATAGGTTTCACACATTATGATTTCATTCTGTTTGACTATTTGATAATTTGTAATGGTCAATGTTTTGTTTTGAGATCAAATGTCCTTAGGATATTTTATGATTGCTTTTTTAGTAGGGTGCCAGTTTCGCTTAAAAATCTAAACTTAATTTTTCAATTTTCTTTTTTGTGGAAATAAAAATTGAATTTAGGTGTCAGGTGATCAGGATGATTGTAGGTCTCAGGTCACTCTGAACAAATTCCAATAATGAGTCAAACAAAAATTCAACTGCTTTCATTTTCATAATAGTTCTGGGAAACAGTGTATATCCTGCAAAACCTTTTAGGGTATAAGTCTCCTCAGCAGTCATCATAAGATCTATTAAAAAAGGAAACAGATTCTCTTAATACATTCTGGCTCGGAATAGATGTATTTTTGTATTAGAAGCTAGAATTTGGACCAGGATACAACTTTCCAATTGGCTGCCCACGAGCCACAAATGGCTTGCAGGTATATTTTGTTTGATCAAAACAGTATTTTAAAAATAAAACTGAATTGATTGTCGCTGTCTTAAAATTTAAATAGTTTACATTAAAAATTCATATTTGCAACTTCTCTTTTAAAAATAAATGTTAAAGTTTGGCCATGAGGAGTCCCCGTTTCACATGAGCTAAGCAGTGGCTGCCCTCTTTACCAGGGGTACGTGTTCTCTGGCTCAGTTCACCAAAATTAGTCCCTTACTGATTTTGGATATTCTGCATCTGGTTAGATGTAGGACCACTTGATGGAATTTCAGTAGAGTTGGAAGGAAGAGGCGTGAGTGGAGGGCAAGCAACACCAGAGGCTTAGACTGCTCTTTACTGAGATTCCAGCAATGCCCAGGGTCATCTTCCAGCCCATTTTTCTCTGAAGCTCTTTCAAGAGCTTCCTTCACTTCCCATTGCCCTTTGGCTCAGAATGCCCCTTTAGGAGTTGCTGCTGCCACAGAGGATACGTTAGAGTTTCTGTTCTCTCAGTGCCTTTGAATTTCTACTATTTCTTGAGTTACCTCCAGGGATTGCCATCCTCTTCCTCATTGACGAGAAAATGTGATTTTATTTTTATTTAGCAGAAGTAGCTTTTGGCACCGAGATGGGTGCATAGTTGTAAAGAGTGCCATAATAAATTGCAAGGAATTTTGGAATTATAGCAGGTAGTGAAACCTTGGAGTAGCTATTAAATCTGGCATTTCTAATGCCAGTTGAAATGTTAATTTCACTTACTGAACACAGGTTCAAAAATAATGTTCATTATACTTAAGAATGTAGACGTATAACATTCATATTATAGACATTTTGGATAAATGTAAGTATCCCTGTAGTGTGGCTTACATATCTGTATTGTAGAAGGTATCCCCTTGTTACTGCCTTATAGGACTAGGTTACTGTCCTATACAGATATATGGAATGATAATTTATGTACTTGAAAGTTTTAGAGAATGATAGGATGAAAGTGACTGTAAAACATCTCCTAAATGTACAGAAAATTGATACAAAGCTTTAATCTCCTTCACTTATAAAACAAAGCTGTTGGACTTGGTAAATTCTAATTTCCTTAGGTTTCAAATACCTGCAATTTTTATAAAAAAAAAAAGTATGTGAAAGGTGAGAGCAGGCAAAAACTAAAATCAGGAAAAACAAAATTAAACAAGGAACTTGTGGAATATGTAACAGAATTACAGAACCATGACCTTATTTATGCTTCATCCCAAAGATTCAAGAGTGATGCCTCAAAGCTGCCACTCTCAGGCCGTGATCCATTGGGCGAATTGTTTAGTGCCATGCTCCATTTTTGGGTACTTGAAAACCTCAAGAGGATGCAGATTCTGCTCATTATTGCTGCATCTTGCTCATTTTGCTACATTTGTCACTGGCCTTATTATTTCATATTTATTTACTCGTGCTGAGTTACATTAGTCAGTAAATTATTTCCCTGGACCCCAATCCTGTCAAAGTTATACTGAATTCAGTTATGTTCTCTTAACTTATCCCCTCACTGTAGGATTTTCCTTCCCAGCATTTGCCAATTTCATCATTCTTCCTGCTTGCTTCCCCACCCCAGCCTTAGGAATAAAAAGTGAGCCATCGCGTTTTCTGTATTGATTCCCACGGCACCTCACTTGTCATTGCTCTCCGTGTGGGAGCGCTTCCTTTCTCTGAGTCATTTGTCTCTGGACCAGCTCTCCTATGTTGCAAACCATGTTTGTTGACCTTGGGGTTTAATCTTCGGTTGGTGATGTATTTTTAAAATCTCAGTGAAATTTAGGTACTGTAATTTATGATGGTGGTTTTCTTCAGTCAGATCTGAGATATTATTCCTTTATAAAAATACTGGCATATATGTGTTGCAAGCTTGCCTATCTGAACAAAGTTATTTTCCTCTTAAACATCTTTTGCTCCTCCAGGATGACTCCATTTTGGTTCACAGCATCGAGGACTTTTTTTTTTCTCTCTTTGACTCATTATTCTTTCTGGGGCAATAAAAAGCATTTTCCTGGTTGTTGTTGTTGTTGTTGTTGTTATTGTTGTTGTTGTTGTTGTTTTGTCCCAACATCCTAATTAGAATAAAAAGTCTTGGGTTCTAGTTTTGGTTCAGCCGTTGATTATCCAACATTGGACAAATCCCTTGCCCTCACTCTGGCTGTTTCCTCATCAGGGAAATGAGCATACTATTAACTGGCCATCCTCTTGCACAGGATTTTTACAGGAAAAATACCAGGTATATAGCAAAGGAATTTCAAAGTTAGAATTCCATATACAAATAGGTTAGTAGTATATTGTCATAGGTTAGCACTGAGTGTAGGCATGGGATAAATATTAAATAAGTCACATACCCAAGTTACTACTACTTTTCATAGATTCACAGAGCCAAAGGTAATCTGATACTATCCCCTCACGTGTAAGGTCCAGCAAGCCTCCCTCTACTTATTAATGCAATGGGTTTAAGACTCCTGACTCCTGTCCTGGCTCATAAATAGCACACTTTTGGACCACTGTTTCTCATTGGAGTGTATATGCAGTGCATTTGTTTGACTTTATAAGCCATCATTTCCAATTTGAATGCCCCTCAGTGAGAGAAGAGGAATGTTTTTGCTCCCTTATGTTGATTCTGGGAATGAAAAATGTGGAGAAGATATAATCATTCTACTCATGTATCTTTCAAAGTAATCTACAGGTTTTCTTGAAGTTTAGTTTTAATTTAGTTTTAATCTTTCCTTCCAAATTTCACCACACCTTCTTCAATCCAGAACTTTCACCCAATTGTTTGGGTTGAGGTATGATTTTGTTCTGGCCTCTCTGCCTCCTGGGCTTTGGCTTCTCCACATGGAGCTTAGCTTCTACACCACATCAACCCTGAGGTGGAACTCGTTTATAAGAATAAATCTCTCATACCAAGCATTCATCCAGTGAGGGACTTTATTGCATTTGTATTTTTGGGGGTGGGCTGTTTGTAATAGGTGTCAGTTACATAGCTCACAGCTTTCTGCAGTTTTGCCAGCTTCTCTCTTTTTTTTTAATGTTCCATTTCTTTTTGTTATCTCTATCTCAGATTATCTCAAGAACTCTAAATACTTTCCTCTGTAACTGACAGAGTCATTTAGTTCTCCTATGAGAAAACTTGGTAAGAGTCAACACAAAGACACAGGTTAAGAGCAGGGGATTGAGTGGTACAAACTACCTGTTTGTACACTTGATCTTAGCCAAAAGGCCGAGAAGCGATACTACCTGTCTGTAAATAAGTAAGTCACAGGGATATAACATGCAGCATAGGGAATATAGTCAGTATTTTATAACTTCATGTAGTGTGTAATCTATAAAAGTAACAAATCACTGTTTTACACCTGAAACTAACATATTATAAGTAAATTGTTTCAATAAATTAAAAAATTAAATTAAATCAAAGGCTAATGTATATAGGACAAAAAAGAGTGGGGGTCAGTTTTATCAAGTTATTTTTCAATGCAGTTGCTGAGAAATTCTTGTGCCACTTCTTTGTAAGTAACATTCCTCCATTTTGATTTGTAAACACTGATTTTCTTATGATCTCACTAATACATGTTTATGAAACTTTATAAGCTGTAATGAACATTTAGGATTTACTTTTGTCAGTAACAGAATATCCAGCATAGACTGTATTAAATGATAAAATTCCAGGGTTGATTTAATCTAGCAGTAGAACAATGTCAAAAATGATCATTTTCATGTGTGGGTGGCCCCCCTCAAAACGGTGAGTGCTAACATTTGCCAAGGCTACATCTTTCTTGGCCATACTCAGAGAATATTGTCTCTCTCTCAACTTTAAAATTGAAATTCTGGATTTTGTGCTGACTAATTGATATTATATGCCTATTTCTGATTCATATCACTGTGATCATGTGGATAAAATTATGCTGACTGATTTAGACAAATAAATGTCCACCACTGGATCTGATTAAGAACTGAGTTCATCCAAACCATATAATTCAGTATGGGTTGGGGATTATTCCCTAGGGAAGAGTTTTAGGGCTGATAGGATGGTGAGTAAGAGATCAACAGTTACCAACTATTCCATATGGAAAGTTTCTCTCGTCAAATCTTATGAGTCCTGAAATGGGAGATCCTATTATTTACATCTAATTTAAAAACTTATACTGATTGTTCTCTTTCAGATGCAAGATCAGCCAGTGTTGAATATTGGTAATTATAAACCAAATCCATTCTTCACCTTCCTAGACTGTAGTAACCATTATTGCTGCTCACTGAGTATTGGTAGCTCTCTGTCTTCTGGGTATGACGTAGACTTGCCCTTCATGGCCCTTTGTGGTTGGTTGAGACCCTGTGACTGGTTCTGGCCAATATATATATATTTTTTTTTTCCAGTGAACTTTTAATGGCAGTGGTGTGTGTCACTACCAGACCAAACCTTATAAATGCTGATGAACAACTCTTAAGATTTTTTTTTTCTCTCTTGTCACAGGATCTGGCATAAATTCAGGGAGTAATTGAAGAGTCTGTGAGGATCTCAGAGTAAGGACAAAGAAAATATTGAGCTGAGCTCCCAGCTGACTCCTGATGGACATAGTGAATGGGTAAGAAGTACAACTTTGTTATTTTAAGCCACTGAGAGTTGAGCTCTGACTGCTAGCCCAACATATCCTACCCTACACATACTAATCTAGTTTTGGCTTGGCGTATTGGCACCCAGAAGGCCATGGGCTACATTTTCCAGTTCACTTCTGTGGTCATGTGACTGTTTTTCCCAACAGAATGGGAAAGAAACTGATATATTCAGTGTTCGTATTACTTGTTTGAAAGGATGTCTGTTTCCCTGGGTTACTGCTCTTACCTCAGTGCTGACTGGAAATGACAGTGTCGGCAGCTGTGAAAGCCTCATGTTGAGAATGTCAGAACTTACCCCATATCTTTGGTCCATGGATGACTTAATTGATCAAACGCAGCTACTAGTTCAGTACTTTATATAAAAGAGAAATAAACTTCTATATTCTTTAAGTCCCTGCGTTTTGGGGAAGTTTACTGATGTGGTCTATTATTTACCCTGACAAATATATCAACCCAAACATATAGTCAACCAGCAAGAATTTATATATTTATACTATATATATTTATACTACATTCTTTCCCCAGGGACTGCAAAATAAGCAAAAAATGTGGCCTTTATTTTAACATCTAATTCATTCATTCATATATGTATTCAACAAGATATTACTAAATTGCTATAATGTGGATTGGATAGTATTCAAGGTGAAGAGGGACATTAAGATTAAAATGCATGCTACTTCCTGTGAACATGCTTATTATTTAATAGAAAGTTAAGAAATATGAAAATTAAGCTTTTAGAGGGAACTATGAGCAGAATAGGGTCTACATCATGTTGTGGTGAAAGATCCTGAGCTTTGAAGGCAGTCAGATGCAGAGTGAGATCTGAATTTATCCTCCACTACCTGCTAATTATATGATATTGGGCAAGTAATAATAAAATGCACAATGAATATAATTTTGTAAGGTTGATGTTACTATCGTCCTATGAGTTGTCTAGAAAAGTTCATGACAAATAATGGACATTCAATCGATGTCGATATTGTTAGTGTTAATTCAGAGTAGTTTGCATAAGCTATGCAATTTCAAAGAAGATGTATTTGCAAGAGGCAACAAAATAAGAGAAAGTTTTGTGTAGTTGGGAAGAAAAGTGAGATATGAAAGCTATAAAGGATTTGCCTTAGAAGAGAAAGTAGATGAGTTCAGGCAGACTTAAACAGATATGGAGGAGCCCAGGGTGAAAGGTACATAGGATAAATGGGTCATGGAGGGGATCAGATACAGTGCAGCAGAAAAGGTATATTAGAAGAGAGTTAAAAGAGAAGATGAAAGTGCATCTTAATTCTTCTCTCGCTGCTAGCATAGAGCAAAGGCAAGGATTGATCCATTTGGGGAGACTTGAAAAATATCATTTTGGGACCCCCTTTTTTGGGAAAAAGAATCCAAGATTACAAATATAAATTTAGGCACTGCAAGGTAAATAGCAGCATCTCTGTAATCCATTCTATCCCCTTCCTGGGGAAGGGGATGCTTCTAGGAGAGAAAGAAGGTGACTTAATCAGATTTCAGCGTAAACTTGCTAATGACAGATCTCTTAGCAGGTGAACGAATGGTATTTGCTAGCAGAAGAGTTACTATCTTCAGAATATTTTTCCACAGGATAAACATGATTCTCTAGGATTGATTATGGAAGTTAGACTTTTATGGGATGGCTCTGGGGAAAAATGTCACCTTAACTATGTAGCTATCTAAATATAAAATGGAGGTGTTTTAATGACCAAAATGCCTCCTCCTTGTAAGAAGTGTGATTGTACATATCACTTGGAGATCTCATATATTTATATAGGCCCAGAACACATCTGGGCAGCTTCATTGAAGACCCTGGACCTTTCCCTCCTTTGCTTGAGCCTCATAATTACTTGAATTCTTTAAATTATTAGTAATGCTTGATACTGGGTAAGATCTCTGATTTGTGTGAGTCTAATTTAACAATATGATTTTTCATGTTATTTCAGATTGGTGTGTTGAGCTAGGTTGTATCTCAGATCCACAAATCCCAATAGCTAAGATATTTACTATTATTATTATTATTATTATTATCATTATTTTAGCAAGAAAAACGAGGAAATGGGGAAATATGATGAAGACTTGATGTCATATTAGTTAGTGGGCTACCAATCCTTGTATGAAATGGTGAAAACCCAATACGTATTATTGGAATTAGTCTCATCAGTGGAAATTGTAGAAAATCCATCTACGTATGGGGGAAATGACTTAATGGATAGAAAAAGAGTGGTTTAAAAAGGGCAAATTGATTAAAAATTCTATTCCCTGGCCATTATTAAGCAGCCTTAATAAAAGCTAGACTTCTAAAAGAAGAGTAGGTGGCAGTGGAAAAAGATAAAATCAGTAAGGTCAGATTTTTCTGGTCCTAGAAATTTTCTTATGCCTCTTTGATAACCAGGAGAGATGCTGCTTTCATTAGCAAAGTAACTCAACTATGACTGTTGGTTACTCAAAAAGTTATATAAGCAGCTGGAGACCTGGTTCAGGTAACTGTGGAATCTCATGGGATTCTTTCTGTTCAAGCATTAGGATACATTAAAAACAAAGCATCAGAAATGCCTGGAGAATAATTATTGGCATAATCTTTTTGAAATAACTATCAGGAAGGTATACAGTTGACATTGTATATTGCTGAATGGAAGTGATTATGTAGGTGAATGGCTGATCCCCAAGTTGCTGAGACCTTAGATGAACAAAGGCATCTGGATAGTCTGCAACTAACAAGGTGTGTGTGTGGAGGGGAAGAGAGCTTCTTGGCGTCACTCTTACCTCCTAAAGGGCCATAGTAAATTTCCTCTACCTGTCCTGTCTGAAGAAATTTACTCCCTCAGTTAAAGGCTAAGCTATAAAATCCAAAAAAGATCGACTGAAAGGCCGAGATTTGCTTGCTTAATCTCTGGTAAGGGATCTGAGACTGTATGCACTGATTAGAGCAAGGGGCCTGATAACAAAACCCTCTTAGAAATGCTAGATATAGGTGCCCAGTATAAAATAATTCCTACGGAGGGGGGAGGGTAGGTAGTGTGCTCTGAATGACATGGAAGTAAACTTGGGATGGTTGGAGAGAATCAAGTTAGGAGTGGAGTTAAGATTTGGAAAGTGTGACTGGATACCTGATAGTCCTTTCCATTTTTCATGAATGCATGCTTGGGATGGGTATTATGTCCAAGTAGAACATATTACCTTCTATAAGGAGGATATCTGCTAAAACCACCTTTCATACAATTTTAATTGGCCTTAATAAATGGGAAACTTTGGAACCAAGCATTCCTCAGTAATAAACATTAAGCTATAACGAGTTCCAAGAGGGAAATGAAATTGCTGCTCTCATTAAGAAATGGTTGGGGAGTTTTGACTCTTTATCTCCCTTTTTAATAGTCCTGTTGGGCAGTACTCATGGAAGACTGTGTTTAGAGGTTAATACCAGCCTACTGAGGGTTAGCCAAGGTAGTTTATTTGATTGCTTCAGCTGTGTTTGACACAACAGAGCCTGCACAGGAAGTGCAGAAGGCCAGTGGGGACTGGTGCGATGTTACCTACTTGGCTGACACAGCCAAATCAATAGTAGATTTGGAGCCCAGCCAGGTACAGTTTGCAGTCTTGTGGAATGGAAATCAGTATGCATTCATTGTTTTGATACAAGGAAATTTGAATTCTCAGGCATATGGCCACAATCTAATGAGGTAGGACTTGAACATGATAACCATTAGAGCAAGTTCGTATACTGCATTGATGACTTGCTTATCACCGATTCCTCAGAAGATGAAACTATGGAGGACAAATAGAGGCTGGCTAACATATCCAGCTAGAATTCAAGGCCTGGCTCAGTCTGTGAAATTCCTGGGGATTATATGGATTAGAACAAAAATACATTATCATGTAGAAGCTTTATACATAGAAATAACAATAATAAATGTTATTTTTAAAACTAAAAAACTACTGAGAGACCCTGCCGATAGGAAAAATGCTATAAGCCATCAGGACTATTGACAAGTAGGTGAAATTGCATTCCTCTTCTAAGACCCCTGATGGTCCCTATTCTCAAAGTTACTAGAAAAAAATTGAATGTATAGAGGGCCATGAGCAGAGAAATAACCATTAAAAGAACTGGAGAAGATAGTGGTGCAGACAGCCCTACTTGGTCATCATGAACCGTAACTGAATATACATAGACCAGAGCTTTGGGCAGAAACTAAATAAGGTGAAGATATCTTGGATTTCGGATTTGTAAACCATCCAAAGCAGCTGCTCATTAGAGACTACTAGAAAGCAGTTGTCAGTTCGTGCCTAGGCAGTGGGGAAAACTACCCACACTAGAGATGTCTCTGGTGGAAAATACCAGTTACATCTTGGGTAATATCAAAACAGTTTGAATAGGGATGGAGAAGCCAGCAAAATGCAATCATGATGTTGCAGTCCCATGTTCAAAATCATGGAATTTAGGGAGGATTCACCACATACACAAGGAAGTTGACTTTATAGAGCTTTTGTAAACAAATCTAGATTCTACTAATTTACTGAAATCACATGAACTGTGTATCTGTGGGTAAAATGAAGATATGTCAGGATCCACCTGGCTCCTGCTGGAAGTGAGGTGACTGCACACTTTGCTTAGAGTTGTCTTGTGTTAACTTGGGCCCAAATGTAAGAAGAAAGTCCCAAGGGAGGTCCTGCTCTTTTCCACTTTGCCTCTGTCTCATAACTGCTTTGTATCTATGAAGATACACTTCATTGGTGAAGAAAGATAATCTAATTATAGCAGTCTGATTTGATAATAGGATTGGACATTCTCTCAATCATGAGAAGAAATATGTACTTGGATGAATAAAAGTAATCACAACAAACCACAAACCTGAAAAGTGAATGAAAACCAAAATGATACATATTTTTATTACTTACTACCAGACACCTCTATGATATTTTTTTCTTTCATGATTTGGCTGCATTCTCTGTAATCACCTCTTCG